TAAGAGGCAAACATTAGATAAAGTGCATTACATCATCAGCTAAGGAAATTTTACTATTCATTAGTTCCTCAGCAACGTTAACTAGGAAATAAAATGCAAATAGCACCTTAACATTTTTAATTGCAATGTTTCTGCACTTTACATATCATCATTTTTTTTTAGTTAACATCTAGCTTCGAAAGTCTACCATCTATGGTAAAATAGCCTTTATTTAGCTATATTAAACTATTTCTTACTTTTCTTGAAGACAGGTCTTTTTCTTTTAGACAAATGAGTTTGTTCCTTCTTCTTGTGCTTTGGTAATATGCATTATGCATTCTGATTTGTATTATAGTGGTCTGTGTATTTAGCATATCTATTTCCTTCTCACATTACTGACTCTCATTTAAGAATGGAGTCCTGGTCTTTACAGTTTTTGGCTAACACAGTATCTTTAGCATATTAAGTACCCAATAAGGATTTACTGATCTACAATTTTTTTTTTCAGTATTCTATTCTAAGAGGGTTTAGAGAGAATTGTTTCGGGTGTGATATGTGAGATTTGAGAAATTTTAAAGTATTTGTGGAAATGTAAATGCATTTATTGTTTAGACTATAGAAATTCCAATTTTCTCATTGTTCTTGCTGGGTAAGAACAAAATAAAATAATATATAAGCATATATAATAATATAGGTGTATAAATATAGAGAAAACATAAAATTTATTAAATGTAAAATATTAAGTTTATGCATATATGTATATATACACACTAAGGTTATAACCAACCTTGAATATGGCATCCATATTATCCATTAATATTAATTACAAGAAAGTCTGTTTAGCAAAAAAGGGGGGGAGGTAGTGAATGCTAAATTTTTGATACATGATGTAAACATATGCATTTAATTTGAAAATATAATTGGAATAAATCTGCAATTCTAAAGCATGGTAATAATATTCTAACAAGAAAGCCTTAAGGGCGCCTGGGTGGCTCAGTCAGTTAATTGTCTGCCTTCAGTTCAGGTCATGGTCTCAGGGTCCTGAGATCTAGGCCTGCATTGGGCTCCCTGCTCAGTGGGAGCCAGCTTCTCTCCCTCCCCCTCCCTGCCGCTCCCCCTGCTTGTGCTCTCTCTCTCTCTGTCAAATAAATAAAATCTTAAAAATAAAAGCCTTGATTAAAAGTTATAAAAAATACTTCAAACCATTTCTCATCTTAGGCTTGGTACTTTAAAATTTTATATTCAACTATTTATGTAAACTGAAACTTTCAGTAATACAGATGATAAATTGAGTTGTTTTTAGAGCACCTTAATTTGAACATTGCATGTGTAATGGGAAATAGTTTTAACTTCGTTTTTCAATAGAGATGCAACCGTATGACTAAAAGACAATGTTGAGGGAAAACATATTAGTTAAAATGAGTAAAGACATGACGTCCAAGAGTGGCACACTTAAAAGAAATAGTGAAACATAAAATAAACCACTTCCCTAAAAGGAAAGGTACCTGGCTGAACTCAGCACTCCAATCATTGTTAAACATGACACATAAAGGTCAAAATCAGTTTGGTTGGAGTTTAAGATGTGAGGAGAGGGGTAGTATGAGAAACAGCTTCAGAGATAAGTTAAACATTTAATAAGAGAAAATTTTATGTCAGAGAGAGGACTTTTTACTTAGTTCTTTGGGCAACACAAGACACCAGAAATATTTGAGCAGAATGCCATGATCAAGCTTTATTTTAAAGAATTTATTATCATGATAATTAAGTGAAATATATTGGATTGGACCTTGAAACAAAAAAAAAGCAGGGCAAATGGTAAATTTGAATAAGGTCTCTAGATTATAGCCTTGTATTAATGTTAATTTCTTGATATGGATAACTGATACTGTGGTACCATGTCCTTGCTTAGGAAACATACACTAAACTGTATAGAGGTAAAGGGACATCATATCTGCAACTTTATCTTAAATGTTTCAGAAAAAAATGTCTCAAGTACACACACACACACTCACACATACACACGCAGTAGGAGGGGAATAAAGTAAGTATGATAAAATATTAACATTTAGGGAATCTGGATAAATGGTAAACAGGAATTCTTTGGAATATTTTTGCAAGTTTTCTAAAATTCTGAAACAATTTCAAGAAAGTTTTTTTTTTTTTTAAGATTTTACTTATTTATTTGACACAGAGAGAGCACAAGCAGGGGGAGTGGGAGAGGGAGAAGCAGGCTTCCCACCAAGCAGGATGCCCCATGCAGGGCTCAATCCCACAACCCTGGGATCATGACCTGAGCCAAAGGCAGACGCTTAACAACTGAGCCACACAGGCGCCTCTCAAGAAAGCTTTTAAAAAGAAAAGTAGTATGTCAATGACATCAAGTAGGTTAAGAGATGACTAGGTTGTGAGAGTTTGGATATATCATGATGAAAATCAACATTAGTAGCTTTTTGGAGGGAAATCTGGAGAACACCCCCAAATTTAAAATGTATACATCTTTAAACTCAGCAACTCCACTTCTGGCATCTGTCTCATGGAAGTATACTCATATGGCACAAAGATACTTATTGCAATAACCATTTTGTATTAGAAAAGTAAACCAATCAAAATTTCTGCTACATTCAAGCACATTCACGCTATAGAATTAATTAGGAGACAGAGGATAAATTTATGAACGTCCAATATGTTCTCACACAGAAAGATCTCCAAGACACAGTAAATTAAAAATAAAGAAATTGCAAAACTATACATATGGTAAAATCCCCTTTATGTTAAATCCCATTGAACTAAATTATCTTTTATATTTAAATCTGGACAGAGTTGTAAATGCCTAGAGTAAGGTGATGACCTCTGGGGAAAAGGAGAAGAGCTTGAAGAAAGAAGGACCTGACAGCAACTTTTAGTGCTCACTCTGAATACATCTTGCTTTCTAATACATCAAGGTATTCATATCTTACTTGGATAATTAAAAAAATTAATATCTCATGGTTAGTTCAAAAATAATAATATCCCACGGTTAGTTTAAAAATAACCACAACCTGGTTGCCTCAGTCTGTGCAGCATGCAACGCTTGATTTCAAGGTTGTGAGTTAAAGCCCCACGTTGGGTATGGAACTTACTTAATCAAAATAGTAATAATAATAAAATAATAATGATAATAATAATAATAATAATCAGCTGAGGTAGAGTGGAGCGAGATTAAAAACTGCTGTAGCAGTCTGAAAAAGAATGGGAAAGGGCAACTGAATTAGAGTTGTGTCAGCAGAAATGGAGAGGAGGAGGTGGTAGGGTGAGAGGGAAAATCTCTACGCCTTTTGAAAGGGTGTAGTGAGAGAAGGAAGATTTAATATGGCTGACTACAATAGTGACATCTTTAACAAGAACAGAGAATAAGAAAACCTACTGATTTGTGAGGAGAAGATAATTTTTATTTTGGAGACACTGAATCTGAGATACTGATATCCAGGTAGATATACTGCAAGTCTCCCAGAAAGATGTAATATTTAGAGACGCAGACCAGAACTACCCTGGGGTTAAGCGACTAAATCCTTGAGGTAACAATTATAAAACAACTGTAAGTGGACACGGATTGTACTTCTTTGTTATGAGCACGGTCTAATGTTCCCTTTGAAGTTACATAACACATTTAGTCCTGGAACAGCTACGTATTTATAGTTGTGTATTAAAATTGATCTTAAGAGGTGACAATATTATATCACAGAAAGGAATTCATTCACATTTTTTTCAATAAATTCTTGCATAATGAAACCTGTCTTCCATTTGGTACATTTCCCACTTAAAACTCTGTATCTAAATCAAACTCCTGAATATGAATGAAATTTGCAAGAACATAGAAAACATATTATAAGCAAATATGATTTTTATAAGTAAAAGTTGTAAATGGTTTAAGTCCTACTCAAGGCATTTTTTCCTATCACAATTCCATTAAAATGTTACTGCCCTGGGTCCTCACAGGATATTCAAGTCCATTGGTGGGGTTACTTATGGCATTTTAAAACTATTCAGATGGCTAAGCTTTTGCAACTAGGGGGTGCTGAAGGACTACAGAGGATTATATTACATCTTATTTTTTAAAAATTTGGTAATCAGTGAAAATCTTTTAAAAAATTAAAGTCTTTAATAAAATAGCATTGAATTACATATAGCAATTTGCATAAACAATATTTAAACACATTTTATCATTGAATTGACCATATATACCCTCAGCTGCAACAAAACTCTCCAAATAATGTAAATATACTTACTCGGTCTTATGTTTGTTATTATATGAATTATGGATAATTCCAATTTCAGCTACGGAGAAATAAAAAGGTACACTGGATTGATATCACTAGGAAATGGGAGACTTATAGACCAGAAAATGCCTATTTCAGGTTCAAACAAGATCAAAGTAAATAAATCTAAGGAGTCTAGACTTTTAGCAAGAAAGAAAATACAACTAGCAATGAGACCTAACTTAAACAAAGATATTACATACTTAATCTTTAAATGTTTTATAGTAAATCCAAAAAGTATTCAAATAAAAAAAGAAACAAATTCAGAAAAAAAATTAATTTTACTTAAAAATATGTAAGCATTTTAATAAAGAAGTTAAAATCTTCCAATGATTTTTTTTCCCCCAAACTCAAGTTACTTCCAGGAATAGGGTATTTTCCTCTTTGTTTCTTAAAAATTATGTGAAATCACATATCCTTTATTATAGTCCAATTTAAAATATTTATGACTCTTTAAGCCACCATGATTTTATATATTCTGTATCAACAAAATGAAATCCATGAAAATATATTTAGGCTTTAAGGTGGATTAAATAGAATTTCTTTTGTCAGAAATATTTAATAAATGTATCTATCCTTTATTTTTATTTTTATCAGAAGTCAGAATTCAGTATGAATTTATATAAATCTAGATTTCCCTTTGTTTCCAAAATGCTGACTGTGTTTCATAAGCTGGCATTTTGACAAAACAGGCACACTTTAAAATGAGCTGATTTTACAAATTAGTAATTTTTTGAACTTTATTTCTCCACAGAGCCCACATAATTATAGTTGATATATTTCTACTTACAAAGTTTAAACAATATGTAATATAATTTTGCTTAATCTGTGATAATACCATCTAAAATTGTACAAGAATAAGATGGCTTTCTCTGAAAGTTACAAGGAAGGAAATTTGAAATACTACATACATTAGAATGGTGATCATAACAGGATCCAGCGTGCACGTCATTTTATTATCAGAATCATCTGAAGTATCTGCAATTTACACTAACTGAAGAGAACTGTTTGGATTTTATTTTATGTAGTATGCTTATCCTTCATTTATTCCTAAAGCAATGTGTTTGCTATACATATATACATCATTAGTAGAGCACAGAAGTAACAAGATCATGCTGCCATTCAAAAGTAAGGTGCCACATTTTTATTACAATCAAATGGCATCCAAAATGCAATATATTGCTATGAAAATGCAAAAAATTTTCAGATTGGCATTTATGGATGAGGCCGGTCACAATGAAATGGCATTTTATTTTACACAAATGAAAAAGATCTATCATAAATATATAGACCAATATATAACATTGAAGAACAAGAAGCAGAAAGGAAACAATGCTCTTGCATAAAGATCAATTCGCTTTGCTGCTGTTGGAATAACAGGTTTGGCAGGGGGCGGCTTCTTGTTGTTCTTTGCCTGAGATTTCCCAAGCCCATTGTTGACTTCAATAGGTTTTCCATAGCAGTCATAATTGGATAATTCAAAATCTCTTGGTAAGCTTCCAACAATGCTGAAGTCATTAGACCTCAGGTCAGACTTGGAAGTGCAAACCTTTTTGCATCTCGTCTCTCCAACCTGAGAATAAAAGTTAAGGACAGAGTACATTTAGCATTTTTCTATTCATAAAACATCTCTTCAAAAGGATATTTTAAAAATCTGATGGTTTAATCAGTTGACTATTATCTCTGTTTCACAAAAAGAATCAATAGTAACTGATTATGCCATCAGATTACCTGAACATTTAGGGCTCTAAAATGTTGCCCATATAACAAGGCTTATGTCATGGAATAAACTTTTGATAGGTTACTTTATGTCAAGAGACTCAAAGTGCAGATCAACATTTATCTTAGGTGCTCCCAGGCTTGTGAGAGTTCTCAGTTGAAATACCAATAAATTACAATCCAATATTTAACCCTGACACAGGCCATATTACCACAATACATGGATTACAGAAATCTTCTGGTACTTCTAACCTTTGACTTCCCCATGGATTCTATTTCCAAAGATGGTGGTTTATAAATGACTGAGGCATTTCTCTCTTCAACGAGACAGACTCTGTCTCTAAACTGCATTCACAAATAGGAACTAAAAGATGGTCACAGTGATCATGAATCAAAGATCTACTGATGAAAGGCATTCATTCCTAATTTGTTGATTAAAGTGGATTAGCCAACCACACTCAGAGAATCCAAAGAAATTGTGTGTATTTCATCCAGATCATATGTCACAGAGATTATTCAGTTGACGATCTCTGAACTATTAAATTTAAATCCATTCCCTATAATATACAAAATAATTATTTCACATTGAACTCTCTCCAGCAATCAGAAATGCTCTCAGAAAAAAAAAAAAAAATAGATGCCAACCCCAACGTCTTAAGATAGCACTGATACTACAAAAGGCCACAGAAGGGTAAGCTCTTGACTCTACCGCTTAATTTCCTACTGTTCCTAATCCTGAGTTCTGTGATCCGCTTTTGGAATCTCCATTATTGATATTTATCGCTTTTACTGAAGAAGGAAACCTGTCATTATATACTGTTAGTATACTATAGCTACTCTAGGTTTTGCCTTATTAGTATAATACAATGATTAGTTATATAGATTCTATTTACCTTTTACCAGATTATGGCTGGGTAAAACTCATGCTTAATGTAAGAAGTAACACAAATTATTTCCCAGCAGTATTTCAGGTAGCAGGACCCTATCTTTTATCTGGACAAACACTGAGTCATATCTTCTGGGCAAGAGCCAGATGGCAGTGTTTAGAGGTGGACAGCACATGAAATTAAGATACACTGAGTGAAAAAAAAAAAAAAGCTAAAATGTGTTTGTGCATATTCCATCATTATACATGTAGATTATTTCCATTTTTTTTCAATTATGAACATGTACTGGTAATGTTATTTTTTAAGCTGGTATATAAGTGTTGGCTTTATTCAGATATACTTTATACCACATAGATATTGTACAATCCTACTAAGAATTATTAAAAAATATGTTTATATAAATATATATATTATAAATATAATATATAAATATAACTAAACAAAAATACACAAACTATTGATAAGTAGGAATGGGAATTCTGGAGCTGGAATTTTACCTATTTATTTATTTATTATATGTTTTTTGGGGGGAATTTTACCTTTCTTAGTGTTTCATACTAAGAAAAAAAAAGATGTGAAACACCAATATATTAACATATTTAGATGCTTTGATGGAACTTTGTTTAGCTAACAGAGGCCAACCTTAAGAAAGAGGATTCCCCCTCCCCTTTCCTAATGTGCAGTTACAATTTACCAATTGTGAGAAGTCAACTGACTTTAAAAGAGTATGTCTTAATGAGGTAGCTATTTTTGATTGAGCAACCACAGGTCCAGGGTCTAGTCCATATCAACTTATGCACTGTGTCTAGGAAAATATCTGGCATAAAATAGGGACTGGTCAGTTGGAATGAGAACAAAGGTAGCAACTAAATCTAAATTATTTAAATATGACTTTGGGAAATCATATATATATAAAATTATGAATATCTATGAATGTTAAAAATATTTGAATATATACACAAATATGTGAATATTGTGAATTATGATTATATATAATAGAAAATATATTTTATATATATATATATATATATATATATATTATTTACTTTTACACCTTCCATCTAAATTCCCCAAATTGAAATTTTAAAAGGCCATTTTCAGTAAGGAGGCCATTTTCAGTAAGTCTGTCATTTAAACCCCACCACCATGCACACGCACACAGAGACTCACATTCACTCTCACACACCTTCCTTCCATTTAAAGCTCTAATTTTCCAGTGGTATTTGAGGAGTAAGTCTCAGGATATATCAGTGAACTTTTGTGAAGAGTAAAATTGCTGCCTTGATTGGAACAGAGGTTGAGAATAGACTCTACATATCAAATTTTTGCATTTTCCTCAGACTCTCAGAACAATCTTCAAAATCTAGGACTCTATGGATATCCCATCTTGCTTTCTCCCTTTAGAATTCTCTACTCCAAAAGTTTTTTACTAACTGTGCTTTAGAATCCACTTATCAGAACAAAGGGGTATTCTAGCTTCTGCCAATAGACTTAAGAAGCATGCTTCTCATTTTTTTTACTTTTTCACAAAGAAAGCCATACATATTTACTATAGAAATGTATTTACTTTAAATCTTATACACAGCTCTAGGTATAGTTTTAGTATCTATAAATAACTAAACAAGTAATCAAATTATATTTATACTATAACCTAAGTCACACATAAATACTTCAAATTTCCTAATCTGTTTTATTTACAAAAACATATTCTTAGATTCTGCTAGCCATTTTAACAATTTTAGAATTTAATCTACACAATTTATTCAAAATGTAGACATAAGATGTTATATTTATTCAGAGAGATTATTTAAATATATTATGTACACATGTCAGTAAAAGAAGAATAATTTCTTCCATGTTAAAATAATAACATAGAAAAGCACTCCAAAGAGCTTCAATTTAGTTATACTAAATCTTCAATCATTTAATGTATTAAAATCTCTTCTAGAAATGTATTTGAAGATTCTTTTATTTGAAAAGAGTTGTGTGTGTGTACTGAAGGAGAGAACCTCTACTATAGAAATATCTTTTAATTATGTGACACAACTAAATAAGAAATAAGAAGTCCTCAGGTTCCTTAAATAGGTCATGATTCATGGCTGGTCTCACTTTTTCCATTCATTGAAGATTTTACACAAACATAACTTTTTTTAGTTAATACTCTACACGTAATTATCATAATAAATATGTATATAAAAGTACAAAAATATTTACAATGTCATACTATTTTAAGCAATTATAATATCACATCAAGAGGGATTCAATAAACTCCTGATTAATAAGAGCGTAACCCTACATAACACATTCTTAAAAGTGATCTTGGTTATATTAATCTCCAATTTATAATTTCTCAATTTTTCCTCATATAAATATGTGTCTCATTTACCTTCATCATATAAGCTTGTCACTCCTGAAAATTACCGGTAGCAAAAATGAGGTAGTATGATAATGAAACTGTCAAGAATAAAAAATGATGCAGATAAGAACTTCCTAATTCCTCAAATTATAACCTTTAAGATTTTTTTTTTGTGTGGTCTTTTTCAGTTTGAGTCACACATTTAAAAGCAAATCTCCTTATGTAATATCTCTTGACCAGAAGACTTACAGATGATTTCATGGGGATAATGGTATCTTCTGCAGTTAATAAAAATAGGTTCAGAAGGGAATAATCTCTATATATTTTACCAAATTTAAGTCATTCCTTATTTTTTAAAAACCTAACATTACCATAGGAAACAACATCTCATTCATGTATGAACAGCAGGTTTTATGTTTTTAATTGTTCAAATCCAAAGGCAAAGACACTTTTTTTGTCTTTTATTCACAATATCTTTCTTATGAATAGCACATGGCACATACTGGGCATTGGGAAGAGGATGATATTAACAACAGTAGGTCCTCAACATTTTTGTTGAATTTAAAAAGGTTATACAAGTAAACAAACAAATTAGTAGGTAAAATACTGTAATGGTTGAGGAAGTACTAAATTTGGGGGGTAACCTAGATAATTATGTATGTATGACGACAAATTTATATATGCAGGCAAAATTATAAAAATATGCTAAAAGCAGGATCACATTATCACTGATGTTTCTTATTTCTTACACTTTTTAAAATCATTTCTTTCCTTCACAAACACAGTATTATTTTAAAAGATCAGCATGATCAAAAATTACCTATAATCCAAATTTCACTGTGCTTTAATTAATAACTATTGTTATTCTGTTTAAAAACAAATAACATAACATTTTGAAACCATACCCCAGAGGGTTCATGAGGTTGAAACTAGCAGAAAGTTTAAAGCTTGTTTTTCAGAGAATTGTTTCTCCCTAATCAGCTATTGTGTCTTTTCAGACCCTACTAACAGATCCACTAGCTGTTTCTGCAGAAGCCTGAACGCAAGGTCAACTGATATGGTGCCAGCCTATGGACAAGCAAGGCCCCACATTCCTTAACAGAGATAACGAGACTAAGACCCCATTCCAGTCTATACCAGCTCTCAGAGCATGTCCACAGCCCCTTCTCCTTGTCCTAAGATAACCTCCTGATGTCAGGGGCTGAATTTTGCCTCCTTCTGGTGTTAAGTCCCCACCCCAAAGTGAACATGGGATTTATGTTACATATATGTTTGCTCATATGTATGGTTCATCTTTCCTCATGAATAGTCGTAAGTTTCCCTGCCCTTTTCATCAATATGTATGTAATCTCCTTCCCTGAATTTCCCCTTTAAAAACCCCATTTCTTCGCCTGGAACCTCAGAGATGGTCCTTGGACACTAATCCGCCATCTTCCCAGGTTGCTGGCCTCCTAAATAAAGCAATCTTTCTTTTCCAACCAACACTTTTCTCTTGAGTACTTTCTTTTGAGTGGCAAGCAGCCGAACTTGGGTTTCAATAACAATTTCATTGAAATTACTTTGCAAAAGTTTATGTTTTGAAAGCAAAGTACACTGGAACGAGTGCATTTTGAAATCAGAAA